CCGCTGACATGTTCCAATTCAGATCACGTGACACCATCACTGCATTCATTTTGTCTCTCATGCCAGTTTTGTTTTTGGTTCAAGCGTGTTTTTTGCTTGGACCAGTGTGTCTATATCATGGACCCCCGCTGGAACGGTCTTTCCCAATGAGGGAACTTGGGCAGCGCCCTTCCAATGGTCCACCTGGTTCGGGTGATCCGGATACAGATGACACCGTCTCCCAGCCACCGCCACAGTTCCGAGTCAAGCGATGGAGGCGTGATCCTCCGCAACCTCCATCGGTGATGTTGCCGTGCCCCAAGGCATCAGTTACTTCACCGCGGCATCAACTTAATCGTTGGGAGGAGGGTATGGTTAGCCCCAACTACAAACCACCTGGTGGGATCACACTGTCTGTAGGGGGTTTGGCCCCACCATCTATGACTCGTCGGGCTGGTGTTTTCGATGACTTTGCTTGTGGTGGTCTGCCTAACGTGAGCTCAGCCCCATCACCTTGTATGCGATCAACCTCGTTGGCCTGCCAAATGGCATTACCTGGGGCTCCGCCCAAGAAATCTGCTCCTCCAGGGGATTTTCCCTTTTTGGAGGTGTCGAAGCCGACTTCTCTACCACTCTCCTTGGATGCGACGGTGGTACGGCCCACTTTGGCGGATTCAACAACTATGCTCGCTCTGCACCAGCAACTGAAATCTCAGCATATCCAAGATTGGCTACAGCTGCTTGATAGGGCAGGTATTCACAGTGAGTTGTTTTCAACCACCGACGGCAGTTTGAATGCACCTTTGCATAGGTCAAAAGTCATTGCGCGTTTTGCGCCATCGACCCTGGCTGCATATTTGAGGTCGTGGAAACAGTGGTCTGAATTTTGTGCTTGTTCAGGGGTCTGCCCTTTTCGGCCTTCAGTGCTGACAGTCGCAGACTATCTTCAGGTTTCATCGACGAAAAGTTCACTGGGGGTTGCGACTGCTCAATCTAGAGCGCTTACATGGGTGGCACGATATGCTGGCCTCCCAATGCTCCAGGATGCCCTGTCATCTCCTATCATCAAGTCTTACACTTACACTGTTCCTTCTGAGTTGGTGCTGAGGAGAGAAGCTGCCCCTCTTCCGCTGAGCTTTGTGGCATTTCTGGAAACACAGATCCTGCGAGATCAGGGTACCGCAGCAGACAGGCTCATCATGGGGTGTCTGCTTGTGCTGGTATGGAGCTCCCTCCGGTGGAGCGACGCCACTTGGGTGTCACCTTCGTCGTTGACCATTGATGCTGATGCCATCAGAGGGGTGGCCAATAAAACCAAAACTACTACACGGGGGATGCCATTTGCATTCCTGACTTGTGGGTTCCTCTCTGGGATGACATCGGTATCGTGGACTACAAAATGGCTTAACCTGGTTCAGGCGGCACTACAGAGAACAGCCGAGGCATTTCCGGGGTTTGTCCCGGATTTCCTGCTCCCCATGTGTGGTCCGAACCCTGACCACCCTTTGTTCGTGGCTCCGATGCCGAGATCCCAAGGTATCTTGATCCTGCGAAGATTGCTCAAGTCTGCATCTCCGGATACATCGCTCGTGAGCATTGGGGCCCACTCCCCAAAGGTCACTTTCTTAAGCTGGGCACGCCAAGTGGGAGCATCGGAAGAAGCCAGAATGGCTCAGGGCCACCATAGAGCTACAGGAGCTCGCCTCAATGTCTCCTTGTATGGGCGCGATGACGTACATGAAGCTCTCAACCTTCAGAAGCTCATTGTCCATCGCATCTCAAAGGGGTTTCGCCCAGTGATCCCTATGCTCCGCGGAGGAGCCAAACCAGTCTCTGATACTCCAGTCACGCTACCGGCCACCACAGTGCACATTGATGATGAAGCCCCAAGTGTGAACTGCCTGCCAGAACTGGACGATCTTGCAGATACAGACTCAGGTTCATCATCTGAGGATGAGAGTCCGCACGGTGGTACTCCAGGACTGACTATGACTGTGGTACAGGCCAAGTCCACTGACTGCATTTTTCTGCTTAACACATCCTCCCTCTGGTCGCTCACGTGGCGGCATGCTGTGAACTTGACGATCCAGCATGCGTTGTCCAAGCCCAAGATGGTGACCTGGTGAGGGCGTTCAGATTTGCTTGCAACGTCAGAAAATCAGCATTGGATGGACAGATCGTTCCAGCAGAGATCTTTCCGTCGGACTACAAACTGTGTATGCGGCCACCGTGCTCCAAAATTTTCGACTGAGCGAGTTTGAAAAAAAGGGGGTGTGTCGTGCATGCAGTTAATGTGCCTTTGTCCGACCACTTCACTCAGTTTAATTTACTCATTTGCACTAGTTGGTGAGATAGTCATTTCTCTCCCGCTGGAGGATTTGTCATGGGCTCACAGCACCGCCATCAGTAGCGTTGTTTCCCGCTGGACACGTTACCTATGTGCGACTTTCGCAAATTGAATGACATGGTGCTGGCGTCCCTGCCGTTTGTCGAAGAATGGTCCAGGGTCCAGGCCCACAGGGATCAGTTAGAGGTTGCCCTGGCGGGTGTGGCAGCACTCATGCTGGCTGTGGGATCACAATACAATCATTCCCTGCTGGCTGTGCTATGCTCTGTAGCTGGTCATGTCTTGGCCGCTGGTGATCCAGATGCAGGAGATCTCTCCCCGGCCGACTGGGTGCCTGCGAGGGCACATCCTTGCTCGGTCATCACATGGGTCTTGTCGTTAACGCAAGCCCAGGCCCATCTGCTGGCATTCCAGCTGGCAGCGGCACTTGAAATGGTGTCTCAGTGGATCATGGCGGATTCCACGTTGATTGGCCCAGAGGCGCGCCTCACATTCAGACACCTGAAGACCGTCCTGTTCGACATCCTCGTACCAGTTCGCCTGGCAGCTGGTGGACAAGCAGCAGAGTCCTTGTTTTCCAATCTCCCGTCTCACGAGTGCCAGGCAACAGACCAGGCTCGAGCGTGATCAGCCGGAAAAAGGGGAGGATCCTTGACCAATGTGGCAGTCTTGAGCTCATCAATCTGTCACACGGTAATGGTCACGGCATTCTCATTCTGCGCATGATTCATCCCGTCGTGATGACATTGCGGCTCTAGCAGAGCAACAGCACAATGAGCTGGAATTGCCTGAGCAAGGATTTGTTTGTCACTTCTGGTCTGTATCCTTGAATCTTGTTTACTTGCTCATTTTATTTCGTGCCAAGTGTTTTGTTGTTTTTATTATAGCCCTGGGGCGTTCAGTGTTGTGGCCAAGCGTCGGTGGGCCATCAACCATGACTTTTCAGAGTTCACCGCTGGATGACCCAGGTACCTTCCGTACCCTCATGATTGAATGCCACATGCCGTCCATACAGATCGAGCATATTGTGACATCAGGGTACACAACAATCGCCCTCTTGGCGCATGGGGTGCATGATGAGTCCAAGATGGAAGAATTCGTGGAGTACCTCAGCCTGATCCCGGCTGGTGAAACATTTTCTACGTTTTCACCTCAATCAGCTTCAATCCGCAGGGTTCTGAAGGAATGCATCAGCAGATGTGTTCAATCAGGCAGGGACTCCAACACTGAAACCTCAGCTACGCCTCTGGTGAAATCCAAGCTGTCGATGTCTGATGTGAAATCCCTCAGAGCTGAGTTCTGCCAGAACTATCCAGGTGAGTTGCTGACGCCTCAATCTATGCCATCCCTATCATTTTTGAGCATTCTCAAAGAAGCCATTGATGGGAATTGCTTGGCCTGGGTACCTTGGAAGAACCGAACATCGGAGTCAGATGAGCAGGCGTTTCTCGAACACAGACGACCTCGCAACGAACGGCAGCTCCTTCGCTCTTTACTGGCGGAAGGGGAAACAGCGCTACATGACCAACCGGAGGCAGTCATCAACCACCAACTCTCCCCAGAAGTAGTGGTGACGCGTTTCCAGGGCTTGATCTCCACGGCATTGGCGATGCTTGGGCAGGCACATCTCCTTGTTCTCAAACGCTTCCACGCCAAGTTTTTGGAGATTGCACTACTCAAACCTAGGGACCAGCACTTACGTTCACCATCGCTGACGGAGATCTTGGATGCTGATCGTGTTGCATGGACAGCGGTGGTCGAGCTCCTCTCTGACTCCAAATGGTCGCTGAATGATGTGCTGAATGAAGTGGCCTTTTGCCGCCAGGTGTTCCATACGTCCTTGGCCCCAAGACCGAAACCCCTGCAGAACCCGAGGGCTGACCAACCGAAGCGCAAGCCTGAGCTTCCCAAACCTATCCCCAAGAAGCCGAAGCCAGAGCCGAAGGCATCAGCGGCGGACAAGCCTTCTACCCCCGCAGGGAAAGAACCCCAAATGGAATGATGCGTGGCTGAAGAAGACCAGTGACGGCAAGGGCATCTGCATCAGATATCACCTTGGCAAGTGCAAATCTGGTCAACAATGCAGGTACGCGCATCAATGCCCAGTGGCCAAGGCGAATGGGGAAGCTTGTGGCGGGTTTCATCCAGCTTCCAGGCACAAGGAGTCGCCACACTGACCTTGCTCACAAGACTCAGTGCCAGATGCACGTAATTCAGAGGAGCCTCCTACAGCAGTTTTTCCTACATCGGTGGTGTCAGTCTCCTCTTCTTTGCCAAGCTCGTATTCTCAAAGCAGAAACTTTTCATCGCAGAGTACAGCCAGATTTTGTTGCGTCTCACTTTAGTGATGAGCCCTTATAAAACCAGGTCTACAGGTGGGGTGCCACCGTCCTCTCTTCCTCCACGCGTGCGCCTCGCGTCCCCGCGTTTCGCGCTTGGAAGTTCAAGGTATTGACCTCTTAACTTCTAAGCTTGTGTAAGTTGCGGTTTCAAACAAACTGTCAAAACAAACTTCAGTGTTTTGGTCCTTTTGTGGACCTCTGTTTTGTTTGAACAGTTTTCACATCCGTCTTTTTAAGTTTCAAGGGTGGGTGGGTGGGACAAAGTCTCACTTCCCGGAGGCTGAATGGGGGTAGTGAGACTTTTGGGACTTTTGAGTCCTGTCTTTTCTGCCATGGACCTAGTGATACATGCAGCTGCTTTCGGACTAGGTGTGAAACGTGCAGACATCAAGATGCCGTGGGAGCGTGAGCCGTTGAACCCGGTGTTTGCAAAGAAACCTCGTCTGATTCAGCCGCCAGTTTTTGTCCCGGCTGTTCCTCCTGAAGATGCAGAGATATCGATCCCTGTTGCCGAAGCTCAAGGTGTCTTGAGGTGGTCAAAGACTACATCGCTGATTCCTTGGCCTATTGCGCAAGACAGAGCATTGGCAAGAGCACTGGAGTCATGGAGAATTATAGTCATGGACAATTTGTCAGGGTCCGCCGTTGGAAGGCAGATCGAAGAAGCTCTTCGAGGAGACTTTGATGCAAAGACCATCGAGCGTTCAGTAAGTGACGCTTTGAACAACAAATCAGTGGCAACACTTCGTGCCAGAGCCTCATCGATTCTTTCTTTTGCCAGGTGGAAGAAAGGGTTGGTTCCAGATGCCCGGATTTTTCCAATTACGGAACATGAGGCGTACATGTATGTCACTGAATTGAGGGAGCACAATGCACCAAGAACGAGGGCCACGAGGTTTTTGGAAGCGGTGTCATTTGCATTTCACATGCTTGGAGCTGATGTTGGTGATGCTATCAAGTCACCGAGGGTGAGAGGTGCCTCAACCGTACCGCTGGTGATTCCTAAGAAGAAGATCCCCTTGACCGTTTCCCAAGTCTGCTTTTTGGAACAATTAGCAATGGATGGGTTTGGACAGGAGTCAATTTTTGCTGGGTACCTTTGCATGGTCTTGCACATGCGACTACGGTGGTCTGATGGACAGTATTGCCAGCATGAACCTGTAACTGACCTCCACAATGGGAAAGGATTTTTGGAATGCCAGCTGTATCACCACAAGAATGCTGGCCGCCAAAAGCATGCGAAACGTTTGCTGCCCGCTGCTTGCAATTTGCCAGGCCTTTCAGGTTTTGATTGGGCGTCCTCTTGGTTGCAGCTACGTAGTGAGCAAAGCCTGACAGCAGGGCCTGGGGTTCCAACCATGCCGGCCCCGCTGGCAGCTGGTGGATGGGCCTTGGTCCCCCTGGAGCCTAGTCAGGCTACAACATGGCTGCGAGAGGTCCTCAACAACTTTGAGCCGGTGCCATCATTGACAGACATCGGCACCCACTCTTTGAAGGCGACATGGCTTAGCATGATGGCGAAAGCAGGGTGTGAAGGTGACTTGAGGCGGTTAGCTGGATACCACACAGATCCTGGGTCAAAGATGGCACTGGAGTACAGTCGTGATGCTCAAGCCCCTGTGTTGTTGGCCATTGAAGCCATCACCGCGGCGATTCACCATGGGTTGTTCAACCCCGATGTGTCCAGAGCTAAGCGTTGGCCTCGTGAGGGTTGCAACTCACTTCAGTCAGTCATGCTGTGGCTTGCACGTTCAAATGCTGAAGATTTTTGGTATCAGAATGAGAATGGCCCATGTTACAGCGAGCAGTGTGAACCTGAGAGCTTAGAGGGTTTTGAGATCCTGCGTCAACCGTCTGAACCTTACTCACCTTCAGTTGCATCAAATGAACGTTTTGAAGCGGAATCAATGTCGGCTGTTAGTGACGTCAGTAACAGACCTGAGATTGGCAGGGAGTATGCAACATCGGATGAGGAACGTGATGCAGAGGTCGCAGCTCCCATCGTAGGTGAGGGTTTGGCACAGTCCTTAGAGCACTCTATTAGCGCTGTAGTCTTCAGACATGTGCAAAGTGGCTGTTGTCATGTAGCAAAAAATTCAGCATGTGACCCGGATGATGGTGAACCCATTGTCTTAAAGTGCGGAAAGATCGCTACCCGAAATTTTGAACAGATTCAAGCAGCAGGCAACTTCTTTCCTTACAAATGCACTAGGTGTTTTGCTGGGAGCTGAGAAGTGACATTTAATTGTTCTGTCATGTCATGTGTTGTGCACGATGTCTTGTGATGACGTGTGTTTGGAAACCTGGTGCATTAACGGGCAATGAAACCCATTTGCATTGGCGCAGAAGTTGCACCACAGCCTCGAACTCAGTCGATGTCGCTTGGGTCGTTTTTCTTTAGTGAAATTGAGTTTGCCTTTTTTTTTGCATTCACTCAAGTTCAAACATTGTGCACTGGCAAAGTTTCATACCACCATGTCTTTGTGAAGCGGCATGGATCGAGCGGACAACAGTACTCTGGAGTCTGTGCGTTTCACAGAAGTCGTGGACTCAGCACAGCAGTAGTCCTGAACCTTGCTGAATCTTTGTCTTGCTGAGTGTGTTTGTTTTTTTGTGAGATTCAGTTGTTCAAACCATTTAACATGTCACAACTTGAGCAGACAAATCAGCATGAATGCACGTCCATGACATGTCGTTTGCGTCCTGTCACCTGGGCAGAAGGGATACAGATCCAAAGCTGCAAACCTCAGCGGCAGAGGTCCGTCCTGGCCTGCAGTCAAATCGAGTGCATTCAGTTTGTGATGAAATTGTTTGCAAAGGTTTGTGACATGTTTCTTTTTCGGGTGTATTTGTTTTTCAGCTTGTTTCAATTGAACTTTTGGATGTCCAGCAAAGCAGTGCCAACCTTCTGAACCCACTGGTGAGCCCAGAGGGATGACCGGTTTGGTGAGACACTCCTGAAACGTCACGAGAGGGCAAAAAGTTTAGAGTTTTGGGCATGGGAGCACATTGACAAGGAGAAGGAAATGCAAAAATTTCAGTCAGTAGGATTTCCGGTCATGACGAGTCACCAAAGTGCAAGCCATGGCCAGTGGGCCGTGATTGTGATTCGATTTTATTTTGTTTGTGCTACGTTGGCTCCAGATGACAGAAAGCGGTCAGAGAGCAAAACTGTTCATGCGTTGACAATGCGTCTTGTCATGTGTTTGTGTGACAGTCTTGCAACCCATGGAAATGAGTGCTGGCAAACGTTTACATTTGGCAAGTAAGTTCCGTTAGTACTTCCAAAAGAAAAAGAAAACGCAGCTGCGTGGATAGAACATGAATTTTTTCTACCTTAAAACTCACCCGACAGGGCACCGTGGAAGCCATGTCCCTTGTTGATAGTGCAGCAGTTTTTGAAGCGAGGGCAAGAGCAATTGGCATTGATGATCAGGTTATCACACAGATGGGCTTGCGTGGCTGGGTGTCGCATGCAACTTATGCATTCTCAGTTGCAACAACACCTGGTGGAGATGAACAGATCTTTGCTGACGGTGTCATCACGCCGTTGCTTGGGAATGCTGATCACAGAGACGCTCCAAAGTTACGCAGGTTGTTCTTCGAAGCCCACACCCTGACAGCGGCTGAGATGAAGCGGAAGGTGGACTCGACGGAGCAGGAGGCGCCGAGGAAACTTCCTGCGCCTGAAATAGCCCAACGCATAGAGATGATCCAGGCCAGAATCCATCCACTGATCGTGGCCAACTTTTTGGAACCATCGCATCACCTGATCAACTCGTTGGTGCAGTGCGTGGAGGACGGCAGAGTACGATACATCGAATGGTCAAGGTGCACTTCAAGAACCCAAGAAGTCAACAACGTCAAGGAAGACAACGACCTGAAGGTTTGGAAAGCTGATAGCTCAGGAGCAATCAGGGCCACCAACAAAGAGCCTATGTTGGCCGCAGTTCTGAACACGGAACTGGATGTGCACCACGCCTTGAGACGACGTGGGGTGGCATATGAGGTCGCCCAAGCTATGACCTTTGAGGTGCACGAGTCCATCATCAACTACTTTTTCTTTGAGCTGAAGAAGGAGCCAATGGAGGGTTTCTCACACGTGACCTTGCAGCAGGTTGCAGCGGCTGACAGGGAACTTCATGTCAGATTGGCTGAGGCCACACGTGCGGGCTTCCGCAACGGCCCAGCGGGAGAGTTGCCGCTGGACTTGCCAGTCAAGGCCATATTGGAAGGTCCAGAGCTGAAGTGGCTCTTGATGCCGATGCCGAAAAGGATGGGAGGCAAAGCACCACATGTGGATGCATCACCTGGCAAAACTTCACATGATACCGAACCCAAAAAGACCAAGGTGGAGCCAAACAAGAACAAGCAAGAGGCTCTCCGGATCAAGAAGTTGAAACGGACGCCTATGCCGAAGAAGCTGGTCGGTTGTGTCCCTTGCAATGAGGACGGCCAGCCAATTTGTTTTGGGTTCAACCTAGGCACTTGCTCACACTCAGGTGATTGTCCGAAGGGACTCCATACATGTTGCAAGAAGGGGTGCAACAAGCGCCATGCCTTTGTCACAGCCCATAAATCTGGCTCGTGACTAGCTGCACAGGGTGCCTTGAAAGCAGTTGGCAAAAGAGGTGATGAAGGTCACCTGGTGGCAGGTTCACGAAAGCGTGAGTCAGCCGCCCCCTTGGAAGGCAGTGGATGCCTTGATCAGCAGTTGGTTGCAAAGCGAATGCGCTCTGCAACGGACACCACCGAGGAAAAAGAGCCTCAACATGTTTGTGACATCGCTGAAGAACAGTCGAGTCATTTTGAACCTGCTGCCAATCAAGAAGTTGATGGTCGGGCAGGAGCGAATGCAACAACGCATTCTAAGCAACTTTTCCTTTTGGATTTATTTTGTGGTACAGCTGGCGTGGCTGCAGCGTTTCGAGCAATGGGTGGAGAGTCCATGGGAATCGACCACATAATAGACAAGAGAAGGGTCAAAGGACCTGTGGCGAAAGTAGATTTGTCAAAGCAGGACGGCCAAGCTACAGTCTTGCAATGGATAGAATCAGACAAAGTGGACGCCGTGATGTTGGCTCCGCCGTGTGGAACGGCGTCAAGGGCTCGTGAGATCCCTGTGCCTAAACGGCACAGACTTAGGAAAGGCATGCAACCAGTTCCGCTCAGATCCGAAGCGGAGCCAATGGGTTTGTCCAGCTTGCGCGGAGTTGCGAAAATCAAAGTTCTTGCTGCCAATAAGTTGTATGCATTTGCAAGAAAGGTCATGGACCTTTGTGAGAGAAAAGGTATTCCGTTTATTTGTGAAAACCCTCGTAGGTCGCTCATGTGGATGACTGACCCTTTTCTCCACTTGCCTGACACGTTTCATTTTCAGCATGTTCACTCTTGCATGTATGGTGGGAAGAGAAAGAAGCGTACGTCATTTTTGATGAACTTCCATGCTGCAAACTTGCTTTTGGAATGTGATGAAAGCCACCCACATTTACCTTGGGGAATGGTGGCACAGAAGGCTGGATCTGAGATGAAATTTTCAACAAGCCTGGAGACAGAATATCCTAGCGGTTTGTGTCGCCAGTTAGCCATTGCGTTTTTAGAGCAACTGCAGAAAACTGGCAAGAATATTTCACCCTCCACTGGTCAGATCGAACAAGAACAGCGCATGGGCGCAGGTTTGCAACCCAGAGGAGCCAGAGCTCCCTTGCTAGTCGGTGATTTCAAGTTCAAAATCGACATCAAAACGACTGATGTCGCAATTCCAGCGTCCATCGAGGACAACGTGCACATTCCCTTCCAGGGCATCCCCTTGCATTCAAAATTGATTTCTTCTCGAATGGTGACTGAAGAGGGGGAGAATGGCGAGAAGAAGGTTTTTTCCCTGTCGTCATATGGTGTTTTTCGTTCCCCCTGGGAGTTTTTGGACAAGGCCCTAACGTTAGAACACCCTTTGGACAGCCCTCATACAGTGGACAAGAGCAACCTGAAGGCTATGGTGTTCATTAGGGACCACACTAAGGCTGAGGTGTTGAAGTTCAGAGCCCAACAGCTGAGAAAGTATACAGAAAGAGCGGCCCAGCTTTCCAGTGAGGAAAGCCAACTCAGAAACTCGCTGGATCCCGATGTCAGACGCGTGCTGGAGGGAAAGCGCTTGCTGTTATTCAAAGAGATGGCTGCCGATGCCAAGGTTGGTGATGAGCATCTTTTTACTGAGTTAACTCAAGGTTTCAAGTTGACAGGTGTGATGCCGGAGTCCAAGCAGTTCCCTGCGCGCCTCAAGCCCGCCATGATATCAGTGCAGCAGCTCAAGGAATCCTCAGTGTGGGCAAAGAAGATGATCCATGCGTCATGCAGACGAGTTGGTGCAGACCCTGAAATAGCCCGGGCTGTCTATGAGGAAACCATTCAACAGCGGAAGGATGGCTGGGTTAAAGGGCCTTACACCGCTTCAGAGTTGGACCAAAAGTTTGATGGGTGTTGGATTCCGTCGAAAAGGTTCGGCGTGAGACAAGGTGGAAAGATACGGGCGGTTGATGACTTTTCAGAATTTCTGGTTAACGCCTCTGTAACGGCGACTGAAAAACTGCAGTTGTTTGGACTCGACGAAGTGGTCAACACAGCACGGACTTTCCTTGGTTGCGATTTTTTGATGATGGATGCTGAGCTTGATAACTTGTGGTGCTCCGAGGCGGTCAAATCCTTCGCAGGGCCTTGGCGAAAGATCTTTGGAAGAGCATTAGATCTTAAAAGCGCGTACAAGCAACTTGCCCGTCATCCAGCTGACAGCTGGGCAGCCATCCTTGCAGTTTGGAATGATGATGCTGGCACAGTCGAATTCTACGAATCAGTCGCCCTGCCGTTTGGGTCTGTATGCGCCGTAATGGCGTTTAACCGGATGGCAAAGGCACTAAGGCTGATCCTTTCAGAGCTCTTCATGGTGATTAATACCAATTTTTTCGACGATTTTTGTCAGCTTGAGTGCGAAGGTCTATGCGATTCAGCTTGGGAGACCGCAGAGTTTGTGATGAAGCTTTTGGGTTGGCGCATCTCCATGTCTGAAGATAAGCGCTCGCCCTTTTCTGGTGAATTTAACCTTCTTGGAGCTGTGGTTGACCTGACACAGTCTACAACTGGGCTTGTGGCTGTTCGCAACAAACAGTCTCGACTTGATGACTTGCAGAACCTGGTTCAAAGCATTTGCCAAAGCGAGACAGTCACACTCTCGCTGCTGGAAACCTTGAAAGGCAGACTGCTTTATGCGGCGGGTCATACATTTGGGAGGTGCTCACAGCTTGCAATACAGCTCATCTCTCGAGTTGCCAGGAGAGGGCCACTGGTGGTACTCGATGAGAAACTCAAGGAGGTCATCAATAGGGCATTACTTTGTTTGATGGACGCAAAACCACGACATGTTTCAGCCTGGTCGGGGAGGCCCCCGCTGATCCTGTTTACAGACGGAGCCTGTGAGGAGGATGGCCTATGTGTGACTCATGGGGCTGTGTGTTACGAACCTGAGTCCAACCAAGCCTTGATGTTTGGTGACCATGTACCAGCTTGTTGGACAGCGAAGTGGCGCACAGAAGGAAAGAAGCAATTGATCTGTCAGGCAGAACTGTTCCCAGTCCTTGTCGCGAAGAAAACCTGGAGTCATTTGATATCAGGACGTGCTGTCCTCTGGTTCATTGACAATAATTCCTCTCTTGCTGCAGTCATTCGCTCTTATTCACCTGTGCTCGAAAACTACGAACTCTTAGTCATCAACGCAAAGTTGGACGTTGATCTACAGGCAATGCACTGGTACACCCGAGTGCCTTCGAAGTCGAATTTGAGCGATGACCCATCTCGTTTGCAATTCTCTGAACTTGAAGCAAAGGGCTTCAAACGCTGCTCACCACGCTACGATCTCACGAAATAATGAAGAGGGGTGGAAAGGCGTGAGATGCGAAGGCGTCTTCCGCAATCACGAAAGCGTGCCGACTCCCCAATTTATTGAAAGAATAAAAAGGTGAGAATTAATTAAACCGTGAGTGAGCTGTCGTCTTCCACTTCAGTGATGTGCATTTTCTTTTGATGTGCATTTATTTTAATATATATATATATGTATGTGGTACTGGAGTGTACTGTGCATATATATATATATGTGTTTCTGTCTAAGTTTTTAGTAAAGCGGAATGCGCAAGAGCGACGCGTAGGAGAGAGGTAGACCAAGGGTTGATAAGTTGCGTCTCACTTTAGTGATGAGCCCTTATAAAACCAGGTCTACAGGTGGGGTGCCACCGTCCTCTCTTCCTCCACGCGTGCGCCTCGCGTCCCCGCGTTTCGCGCTTGGAAGTTCAAGGTATTGACCTCTTAACTTCTAAGCTTGTGTAAGTTGCGGTTTCAAACAAACTGTCAAAACAAACTTCAGTGTTTTGGTCCTTTTGTGGACCTCTGTTTTGTTTGAACAGTTTTCACATCCGTCTTTTTAAGTTTCAAGGGTGGGTGGGTGGGACAAAGTCTCACTTCCCGGAGGCTGACCCGCCCTCCCAAAACCCCCCTCCGGGCGTGAGATGCGAAGGCGTCTTCCGCAATCACGAAAGCGTGCCGACTCCCCAATTTATTGAAAGAATAAAAAGGTGAGAATTAATTAAACCGTGAGTGAGCTGTCGTCTTCCACTTCAGTGATGTGCATTTTCTTTTGATGTGCATTTATTTTAATATATATATATGTATGTGGTACTGGAGTGTACTGTGCATATATATATATATATGTGTTTCTGTCTAAGTTTTTAGTAAAGCGGAATGCGCAAGAGCGACGCGTAGGAGAGAGGTAGACCAAGGGTTGATAATTCTTGATATTTTTTCGGGTGCCTCAATGCCAGTGAGTAAAGCAGTCCAAGAACTTGCTGGTGATCGGGTGGAACCTGTTGACCTCATTCACGGCTTGGATCTTCTTGATGATGACACATTCGAAAGTTTACTTCGACTGGCCTCATCAGGTCGCATTGGGGCAGCACTTGCTGCTCCATACTGTTGCAAGCACAGCAGAGCCACCTTGAGACCAAATGGACCTGCCCCAGTCCGTACCCCGGAGTTCCTTGATGGCCTGCCCTCCAACACGATTCAGCAGCAAATCGCGGTTCAAGAAAGCGCGACCATCCATGACAGATCGAGAATCCTGCTATCTGCAGTTGATCGACATGCAGGCTTAGTCATCTTGGAGAATCCTTCTACCTCCATGACATGGGACGACCCCCTCATGTATGAGTGGGTCCATGCAGTCACCCCCTATGCCGCTCAAGCCTGCGCCTGTCAGTTCGACAAGGACTGGGCCAAAGCATGGATGTTTGTGTCGAATCGACAAGCCATTTGTCACCTTGCCAGATCTTGTCCTCATCCAGCAGGGACACATGAACCTATTGTTGGAGTCCGTCTCCCTGATGGCACATTCAAGAGTAGGCTCACTGCAGAGTATCCTGCTCTATTGGCACAAGCATTGGCATCGATCATCAGACCCTATTTGACGTCTGGTCACCAAGTGCTACAGGTGGCTGACTGGCCTTCCATCTTACCACCACAACTGTCCTGGCCAGACCCACCTGGTCGAATCGAGGATGGAGGCGGTTTGCCAAGCACAGCACTCCACATGAAATCGCCACGACATGACAAGATGGTGGCATTGCGTTCGAGATGGTTCAGGCGCCTTAGCGACAGCAAACAATGCCTCAAGATTACTGCAGCATTGCTGTCCGGATGCAAAGAGCCACCTCTGTCTGAGGATGAGCTCAAACCATACCTGGACGACCTCCTCGAGATTCTGGATTGCCCACCAGGTGACTTTCTCCTGGATATCTCACCTGGCCAACCATTTCGCTTAAAGTTGTGGCATCGGTTGGCAACATTCTTGCACGATCCTGATGCTGATTTTCTTCTTCAACTTCCTACAGGAGTGCGCTTGGGGGTCAATGAACCACTGACTCCCTCTCCAGCGTGGCCACAATATTCTGGTACACTGCCCGACGAAGTGCCACTCCAAGATTGTAGTGACAGTTGGAAAAGCGCCCAAGATCATCCAGAGACTGTTCAATCTCTGATTCAAGAGGAGCTCGATGCAGGTTTTATTGCACATGTCCCTGGAGGCATCCCACAACTCAAACGGATGTATTCCAAAACTGCCATCGGCAAGCTGGGTGTGGTGATTGCACCAGGTCGCTCACCTCGGTTGGTGGTTGACAGCTCCATCAGCATGGTAACCGCCAACACAGTCCTACCCAACCATATGCTTTTGCCGCGGATATCTGATGTGATCCAATGTGCCCCAGATAGCATGGCATGTCAGAAGATGACACAACTCACACTGGACGTTGCGAAAGCCCACCGCAGAATCTTGGTTCATCCTGATGACGGCGGCCTCCTTTGCTTTCATGCGAATGGGGAACTATACAGATGCATCACTCTCAACTTCGGTGCTCGTGCCAGCGGCTGGTATTGGGGGCGGTTGGCAGGCATCATGGTGAGGTCTTGTCATTCTCTCCTGGCCCATGGTCACGCTCTATGGCAGTATGTTGATGATCTTCTTGCCTGGTTGGACAAGGTGTCGTCCCCACTGTGGGCTTCGTTGATTGTCGTTCTCTTGCTGATCTTGGGGGTGCCCATGTCCTGGCACAAAGCAGCACTGTCAGACACTGTGGATTGGATTGGCTGGCGAATCTCTGTCGCTTATTGGACGATCGAAGTCCCCACCGAGAAAATGGAGCGCATCATAGCCCAAATCAGGTCCATTCGGCGCACAGAACGTTTGACACTACGAGAATTGCAGTCCCTAGTGGGACGCCTTTTGTGGTTGACATCCGGGTGGCGTCACCTGCGTCCACTTCTCATCCCACTGTACAAGGCCCTGCATCGCATTCCCATTACCATGGTGAGAATGGATCATGCGACGTTTCAAACACTCACTGCTCACTTGGATGAGCAGCTACAACTGTGCACTTCGTTGACCAACAAGCATCAATCATTGAGAAAGGGCATTACATTGTGTCGTGTCGCCAACACTAATGTCCTGACGTTGAAACAAGTTAACTGTTGCACATCAAATCCCGTCGCGTGTGGGTTGGTCTTTCAGATCCGTCTACACCAAACCGGAAACTGGATGATGAAGCGACCGAAACCCTCAAAATATGGCTACAGTTGCTGACGTCGACACCTTTCTCATTATCAATGTGCCCGCCAGTGTGGATTCAAGTCAATGCCACAGCAGAGGCTATGGCGTCGCAGTCCCTGGCTGGGCTGGGCGGGGCAGCCTTCTTTCCTGATGGGTCTTCGACTTGGTTTCAATTTCGTATCTCACTTGAGGAAGCTCAGTCGCTATGGCCGTGGATAGGTGACGACATGCAAAAGCACATCGCAGCTTGGGAATTGTTAGCCCAATTTGCCTTATCCTTCTGCATTGCTACCCACTTACCTTGCACTCGTGGGCCAATAGCATGTCACCAAGCCACTGACAATAGCGCAGCAGACGCTGCCACAGCCAAAGGTCTTACTATGACTCAAGCTCTGGCAGCTGTACTGACTCCATACTTCCAATTCATGCGACGAAATCAAGTGTATCCTCAAATCACTCATATTCCTGGTCGATTGAATGTATTGGCAGACGAATTGAGTCGATTCAAAGAACAGCTCTCTGTTGCTGTTGATCCGCGGTCGCAGCAATTCATTCCTTGGATGCAGCTGCTGCAGTCATCCGGCATTGAGATCACCCAAACAGGTCGAAAGTGGCCTTCGCATTTTGACATTCATCTGCGAGAAAAAGGCCAACTGCAGTCCGCTGACTGGGTGCTTCCATCGATTGTGTTTTTGGGGAGTTCTTACTCCGGCTGGTCGATGGTCGAATTGTCTGGTGCTGTTGGAACTCCCCACCTCTACTGGTTGACCCCACATACCCCGGTCTTTGGGTTGTTGATCGGTGTCAGTTTGAATTGGGGTCTGTTTCTAGGTCTAGCTGTACTAATATTGGACCCGCTGGTTCTAATACATTTTGTACAGATTGGACCTCCTTTGCACCACGCTTAAAATAGAAAGCACCTGCGCAGCTGCCTTTGATTCACATGCTTTGGAATGTCATGCACATAGTTCTGTATTAGGGAAACTGAAGCAACGGAAGCTCGAGTATGAACGTGTCATGTACTTGTACATATGTGTTCATACTTTGGACCCGGAAATTTCAGTATCTGGTCCGTGGCCATTTTTGCTTCAAGTTTCCCCTGATCTGTTTTCCCACCACCATCCCCATGCACCGCCACTGTGTGGTCTTGGAGGTGGTGCTGTTGGAACTCCCCACCTCTACTGGTTGACCCCAACATACCCCGGTCTTTGGGTTGTTGATCGGTGTCAGTTTGAATTGGGGTCTGTTTCTAGGTCTAGCTGTACTAATATTGGACCCGCTGGTTCTAATACATTTTGTACAGATTGGACCTCCTTTGCACCACGCTTAAAATAGAAAGCACCTGCGCAGCTGCCTTTGATTCACATGCTTTGGAATGTCATGCGCATAGTTCTGTATTAGGGAAACTGAAGCAACGGAAGCTCTAGTATGAACTCAAAAACATCATTTTCAGTGTCTCAAGGAAGCACCATGTTTCTTTTTATGGTTCAAAGTTATCGCAAATTGCCATTCCAACCTCGATCGGTTGGTTATGTCCGAAAGATATCCACCAGCGAATGGTTTCCAAGTTGTCCGATACTTTGATGGATGATGATGATGATGATGATATTCATTCAAACCAATTGTGGTATGTTTTTGTTGTTGTTTTTGTTTCTGCTTGCCACAACCAAAACAATTTTCCAAAACATCCAATGATTTGGATGAACAACAATTTTAGAGCTGACGCTGAGAACGAACCGGTTGATTGAAGCCGACCCAATTTATCCAAATTCTGTGGTGACCTTTTGCAGTGTACTTGAGGCTCGCTCCCATTCCAATGTTTGCATATGTTTGCATGTTGGATGCCATCCCGGCATCCCATTCCGGCACGAGGCAACATGTCGCGTTGCGAGAACTTTTGACTCAAATCCCGTAGAAAGAGACTAGAAAAAATGAGTCAAATAATCCATCAGGATCTACCGTTTCTTTTGACCCTAGATTTTTGAGTTTGGAAACTGTCAGAAAATCCACATTTCGGTAGTGATGAATGACCGGAAAATTTACATCGGTCGGTTTCTTCACTGCAGGCGGTTTGACGTGTAACTCTTCCTGATGTAAGAAAGATGGCATGAACCCCCATGCTGCAAGGCTGTTCGCTTCAACATGACCCCAAATCATGAACATATCTTGCAAGTAACCTTCCACGTTTATATCGTTTATAATAGCAACATTAGCACGGCCGCATCCAATTTCGCCCCGCAACGATTTTTCTGATTCCAGCGTGTGACACAATTTGAATTACACATGAATGCACATGGTTTTCTGCGAACGTTTCATAGCCATTCCATCGGGCCCCATTTTATGTTGCAGTGCTCCGTGCAGCCCTTGTGGTTTGGACATCGGTCGGTTCTTTTTCAACATTGTTCCCGAAATTGTTTGGCAGAGCGGCTCTTGAGTGGGTTTTCCACTGGTCACACGTCCAATGGCATTGCAAGTGCGGAACCCCATAGACTGCAAGTAGATCAATGTGGTTGGATCTTTTCCGATGTCAGATATTTTCATTATGCGATCTTTTGTTTGGTTGTGTATCGAGCAATGCGACATGAGGGGGAGGAACGGGCCACCAGCGCCATCGTTGCCATTCTTTGAGGTCCTTTTTGCAATCTTGATCACCAGTGGATGTGCATAGGACCTTTACCAGTTACCAGGCCATGAGTTGTTTGCTGTCAACCAACTTTGGGTGTGTTCCCTCAATTTCCCTCATCAACATCTGAGTTCTGCCTTGTTTTCCAGTTGCTTGATCAACGTCAATGTAATCAACTGTAATCAACCACCAAATCCTTCAACCACGCCATACTCACCACCCATCCACCCATCCATCCACCCATCCATCCACCCGTCCACCCATCTACACCAGGAGCCGCGCTCAACGGCCTGGCAGCTGCTGTTGCCGGGTGGGACGCCTCCGGAGCAGCGCGGGCAGCGCGCCGTGTGGAGCGCCGAGGCCGACGGGCTCTTCGTCCACGGCGGCCTCCCGGGCCTCGCGGGCGAGCCTGACCTTGGCCGAGGCCTCAAAGGTCCAAAGGTGAGGCCATAGTGATATATGGATAGTGATATATGATGAGATGATTCAATGTCTTTTGATTCAAGTGCAAGAGGTGCATGCTCCGGATCCTTTTGGGTGCTGGCTTGCTTTCGGAGCTTTCGTGGGGGTTTGCCTGTCCATTGTGGCCCTTCAGGGATCCCTCTTTCCATCTGTGGACTTCTACTTGGAATTGTTGGAAGGTGTGGATTGTCCCTTGGGGTCCTTTGGTTTCTCTTCTCGGTTCCGCTTGCTTCGCCACCTGTCCCGGGTTCTGTCCCGGGTTCTGTCCCGATCCATCCCACCTTTTCTTACCCTGCTTCTGGACCAAGAGCAAGGAACAGACTAAGGGGCTACTTGGATTTTGATGGGTAGCAGTAGCGGCTTAGCTGCTCGCCTGCGATTGTCAAAGCAGGCAGATCAATTGCATGTGGCGGCGGTGGATCTTGCAGAGAGCATCTCTGAACTCTGCAACCTGGGGTCTTTTGGTGATTGGGTGCTGGTTGACTGATATATCTTTCGTATGATGACAATGATGATATGATATGATATGATATGATATGATATGAGGTGATATGATATGATACATGTATGGTGACGAGGACATGAGGACATGCGGATGGTGTTATGATGATGTTGTGATATGTCACGGGGACAAGGTGAACATGAAGAAAAACTTGACTGAATTGTGGCGTCACGCACGGTTTATGGAAAAATGACTTGGTCACAATTGTGATTTTTATTCTTGTGTTTTGCGTGAAACGAAAAGGTAAGATGCAAAAGCGTCATCCAATGGAGTTTGCTGAGGCTTACATTTCTATGATCGTCAGGCTGTGGAGTGCTGCTCAAAACATGTGTGTAGATTGTTGTGCAATGGTTGTTTGCGTGGCCAAACATGACTAATTTTCAGGTCTTGAGGTTGGAAGTTCGCAGACTTTGGAAGGATCTTGAAAAGATGGCGCATGTTTTTCAGGCGGATGAGTGGCAACAGCTCTCGCCCAGCGGTTCAGCAGCGGCACGTGATAGTCACTCAGCAGTTTGGAGCCCCGCTGCTGATGGGATGTATATCTTCGGAGGAAACAGCTACAGTCGTCACCTCAGATCTTCTGACATTGAAGTGCATCTGATGGATAGTTTCCATGAAGCTGTTATTTGGTCAGGTTGTACATGGAACTGTAACTGGCACGAGCCACTCACGGGATTAGTGCCACCAGTGCCACCAGTGCCACAGACGTCAACGACCTTTTGGCGAGGTGGCGAGAGGCTGAACGAACTGGACTTCTACAACCGCCAGGCAGGGTGCCAGTGGACACGTCTCGACACGTCTCAACCTGAAAGATGTTTGAACATGTTTGAACATGTACGGTGGCGGGCGAAATTTGGATATAAATGGATATTGTCTTGATATGGTATGAACATGTATGATTGCAATGACAATGTGGCACACAATTCCCGTGATCCCTGTTTTTTGGTATCCGAGTCGTGACATTTCCTGACCAAGCCATGACGTGCGAGCTGAGCTGAGAGGCTAACGAGTGGCAGCAGCTGGTGCCCGGTGGCTCCTTACCTGTCGCCCGGCGGTACCACAGCGCAGTGTGGAGCCCCGAAGCCGACGGGATGTACCTCTTCGCAGGTTCCAACTTTCTGAACGGCCGCGACCTCAGAAACGATGTGTTGCAATGGTATCAGTGGTATCAATGGTATGAATGATGATAGCAATGATTCAGAAATGATGACATACGATGACCAAAAGGTACCGGAATGATATCAACGATGATCAACACGTACCGGAAAGGGACACCTGGGATGTGCAACCAGTTGCAGAGGCATTGGGCACATGAACGATCTGCACTTCTACGACCGCCAGGCGTCATCCCAGCGCAGGAACACCTGCGAAAAATGTGAAAAAGAAAAAAATGCAAGAATTCACCTTCGCAGCTTGTGGATCAAAATGGGACATGACAACATGTAACATGTGACAACCACGACAACCACAGTCTCCAAGAACTTCTCCGCAGCTCCGAGGCCAATCGGTGGCAGCAGCTCTTCCCTGTTGGCTCCCCACCATCCCCGCGGGAGCATCATTCCGCGGTGTGGAGTTCGCCGGCCGATGGCATGTACGTCTTCGGAGGCTTCAATGGGAGCTGCTTGGCACGTGAATCTCTGTGGTTTTGCGTGGATCTGTATGGAAGTGGAGAACCGTAGAGTTGGCAGAAGTGGATGACTGTTGAAGTGGATAGTGAAATTATATGAAATTGGATAGTATAGCTAGACGACTGAAGAATTGCAGAGTGTTCTCACCTGCTTTGACCAGAATGTGCATGCTTTCCTTGGCACATCTTGAGAGCCAAGGTAATTTCTTGAACGATATACATTTCTATGACCGCAAGGCCTCAGGGAGAAGTGCCCATCGTCATAACCAGGGTCATTCAGGCAGTTGGAAATGTTCAAATTCGTCCAGAATCTTCAGTTGAGTTGGTTGATGCTTTTGGATATTTTGCCATGTTTGAAAGTGTCAAAGAAATTGGCACCAGGGACGCTTATGTGGTTTGCTAAACATTATTCAAGGTGGAGCTGCCAGATGGAGAACACACAGTTTTTCAAGTTACCTCAAAAACCAAGAATTTTATGTTGCATTTTAAAAGAAATTACTCGAATGAACCCCTAGTCGTAGTATGCACGTTCATATCACATAGTGGTACCAAAACGGATCCCACTATATTTTTGTTGCCTATGACTGTAAAGTGTAAATTATGTCATGGCCATGGCTTTTACAGCATGAAATCGACTATCCAATATGTTACCTACAACATGAAATCGACTATCCAACATGTTATCTAGAATGATAGCTTGTTCCATACTCCTGGAATCCGGGGTAAGGGCATAAACCTATACTTGGCCATTAATGTTTGGTTCAAGGTGCCCGCTAAAAGGTGTTCTTGGCTTCGTTTTTCTGGCTGTTCTGAACACTGCACCAAGTGTTAAATCAGTTGCAACCATCTATAACTTGTACAAGTCTTGCGACCACTGAATTGTTCCTATTTTATCTATCTTTCCATATTTTTCCTAATTGTTGTGGCATTTCCAGCACTGGGTGAGGCCAACCAGTGGCATCAGCTGTTCGCCGATGGAGTTGCTCCCTCCCCGCGCTACCAACACAGCGCAGCCTGGGATTCAGATGGGATGTACATCTTCGGTGGCTGGGGCATAGCTGGCCCAACGAACGATGTGCATTTCTACGACCGCCAGGCGGATGTGAAAAAAAAAGAACATGTTAGAAAGTACGAAACATTGTTTTTTTTTTAATGTATTGTTATTCTTAAAAGTAAGGGGTATCTCTTGTTGATTACACGGTATATGTTATCTTTATCTATATGGCATTTTCTTGAAGCACTTCCGATCCTTTGGATCCTTTGGGCCATTTGAAGGCAAATGCCTGGCACACCGGGACCCCCTTGGCTTTGGCGCCCAAGCGCCACGGGCACACGGCGGTGTGGAGCCCGTCCGGGATCTACGTCTTCGGGGGCGATGCGGATCTCTACTGCTACAAGGTGAGGATCACGGTGGGTTGCTATGAATAGGGTGGACAGGGTGGGTCACAGCAGGCCAAAAAATGAGGATCTTTCTTGGATCTGATATAAGTCTAGTGATCTGATTTGAGTTCCACTGTCATACAGAGTTACAACTTTTGTTTGATTTTGTGCTGCGTCGGAACGGGTGACGATGAAATTGAGTTCAACGAACTCTGAATCAGAGTAGTGCAGAACCAAACCAAATATATACCATTATGATCAATTATGGTCATTTTGTACGAATATCATCCAAACCATATCATATCTATTTGTCTTCAGATATCCCAACATGTTTTGCCGCAACTGGTGGTGGACAGGAGGTCGCCAGCTCGAATCAAACCACCACCTCTGTCACAACGTCCACTGTCTTCACCACTGTTAACCAGGCACGGTGAGATATGTTTCACAGGTAATTTTGAAGGATTAAAACTGTATTGCCGGGGTGTTCACGGTTACATGTGGGAATTCAGGATGTTGTTTTCCTTTTCCTTTTACGCTTGGAGCTCATCCTTTGATTTTTTTGTTCCCACTGAGCATCATTGAGCGTTCACATTTTCGGGAGCACGTTGACGAAGTTTGCCAAGTTCTTTTCAGGTGATGTGGTCAGGCAACCTGCAGTTCACCTTGGATGGCGATGCTGCAAAACCACAAATCACCACAGCTGTGCAGATGGCTCTGGTCACTGGGGCATCAAAATATCACCAGATGCATACAATTATAACCAATTATTAGCAGGTACTCATAACATCATGTAACACATCTACATATAAAGAACCACAAGGAAACATATCGAACCATGGCCAATAGCAACATTGGAGCGCTCCCTGGCGAGCGGTTTCAGCTGCGAACTGAGGCGACCTGGTTTGGCATTCCAGAATCCTCCGTTCAAGTGGCCACAGTGGCTGCTTATCCAAATTTATCCAACATTGGCCAACAGTGGATGTTCCTCTTGATGATTTCTGATGATTTTTGATTCGGTTTCAGAACATTTCAGAACATCCACAATGCATCAACAAACATCGGTGGCTGTTCGCGTCCTCTGAGGACCTGATGACCAGTGGCCGACGCCTTGCCCAGTTGTGGTTAGTGAGTTTTCAGATCCAAATGGATGCAGCTGTGGTGCCAGATTTCCAGGTGCCATGTTCGGAGCTGCCAAACTAGATTTTAAATCGCCAGCGAGATGGAGTTGAAGCAATGCTGATCAATGATCAATGCTAGTCGCTGCTAGTTGGAGGAACCAGAGGTATTCGTAACAGGGGTTGCAGCCCCCGTTGCGAAGATGTTGCGAAGCTGTTGCAGCCCTGTTGCTCGTGCAGGGCGCAGCGTTGGAGAGCTTCGCCACAGAACTGAAGACACAGCGCAGCCGGCAGAAAATTCTCTGGCGACGATCCGGGTGCAGCAACTGTCGGCAACTGTTGGCCATTTGGCATGTCTCTGTATCCCTGTTGGAATTTGCCCTATAATTTGGGGTCGAGCCTCTTATAAATGGTTTATATAGGGGCATCGAACCCGGATCTGTGTGGCATTTCTTATGGCACATGGCAGGTTGGAAGCCGCTGGGCTTCACGTGAACGATCTCAGCGGATTGGAGGCACCAAGCTCAGTGGCTCAGCTTCCAGGTTGCCAGGCCATCAATCGACCACGTTTCACCGTTTTTTTTTCCACACATATTTGATATGGTTGATATTAAACACATATTTTTTTGAAACATATTAACACATTGTTTTAACACATATTGAAACATCTTAAAACTCTACAGTTGATATACTTTGATCTTTCTTCATGTATGTTTCTACAATTATTGCTACATATTTCCATGTCAGAATAGAACATTCAGTCAACATGTCAGACTTTTCAGTCCCAACCACAGCTGGCCCAGGTGTCCATGGAGCTGGTAGAGGCGGAGAATCGGTGGCCGTTTCTGACCATGCCAGGACCATATAGGACTGGGACACATACCATGATATTTGCCATATAGCATCATATACCTTGGTTTAGTATATCTTAGTATACCTTGGTTTACCTTTGTATCCTTAGTGTACCTTAATAGCTATGTGTACCGTGTACCTTGGGCTTCGACTCCCTGGACTCCCTGGTTTACTTGGTGCTTTGATCACCTTGTGCAGGCAACCAAGGACGAGGATGGCAATACCGACGTGATCATTGTAGTGAAACTTGCTGCAAGTGGTTCAGCTCTGCCACCTACGACATGAACATTGGTTGATCCCCTAAAAAATAGGCTATAGAGCATCAATGTGAGGAATCCATAGGCTGATCATTTGAGGATCGGCTCCTGGAATTCTGGGTTCATCAATATTCAGCAACTTTGAAATCTGAGGATTTTTTTTTGTAACATTTTTTTTTCCTATTCATCCCTATGCCCTATACCTTTTCGGATCGTCGTGGCGTGCTTTTCAGGATTTGCGTCGTCTGTGCGCTGGGCGCCACCGTGGCTTGGTGCTACTGTCGACGTTCAAAGAGGGCTAAGGAGAAGGAGACGCAGAGGGATGGATCATGGAACATGCCATTCGGTGGGCGCAACGCTTGCGCAGGGACTGAATGACTGAATGTGTTGAACAAAGTTGTTGAAAGGCGTACTCAACATCAGCTTGTGATATTGACATAGACATCCCAAGTGACATTCAAAGTGACATTGGAAATAAAAGTGACATTCTTTGACATTCTTTGACATTCTTGTCCGGAAAGGTCTTTTTTTTTGGTTTTTTCCCTTGCAACGCAACGAGGAGATCGACGCTGCCGAGCCATCGGCGGAGCCATCGGCGGAGCCATCGGCGGAGCCGGTGCAGCTGGAGATCGACGACGCTCCGATCCCTGTGCCGATCCCAGCTGCACCAGCTGCACCCTGGCAGGTGGAACAGGTGGAACGCTTGCGACTTCCAACGGCAGTGCCGGAGCACCTTGGAGGATTTGGAGCAGATTGGAGCAGATTGTGATTCAGTGATTCAGTGATTCCTTCGTTCTTAGCTTTCAGAATAGAAGTTCTTCACACAAGTCACATTTTCGAAGTCTTTTGAACAGCGGTTTTGGTTGGACGTGTCCGCAGCTGAATTGAGGTATTGGTCGTGCCAAGGAGCTTGGACGGTACCCGTGGACGAGAGCACATTGATCCTTGGATGGCGAAAATCACAGGAATTGGAGCATGCTTTGGCCATCTCTTTTAATGCATGAGCCTTTGAGAGAAATGATGAGAGAAATGGGAAGATATGCTGATTTCTGATGATCTCTGCTATTTATTTTTGATCCCACATGGAAACGGGAACCGCTTCAGATGGGCAGATTGATCACTGTGCCGAGGGATGCGCTGCGAGAGATCTTCGGAGATGCGTTGCCCGGCTGATCGTTGCCGGGCCGGGACTTCTAAAGAACGAGCGATTTGTGAATGGAACTTTTCTGGTTTTCCTCTAGGTTTTTCTGATCGTATCTTGGTTGGCTTTGGAACTTTGGAATGCTTTGCAATGCTTTGGAAGTCTGGAGAATCTGATCAAACAAGCTGCAAGGATTCACAGAAACAGAAATCTCAGGTCTAAGCTGGTGGATTGCGCATGGCGAATTGAGAAGGAGGATCTGTGGATCCAGCGTCTTGGCGAAACATCCGCAGGTCTGGGGATGGGCCATTTGTCAACCGTGGCCGTCCCTGCTCGGTGTTTCTTGTATTTTCTTGTCATATCTTGTGGCATGTGGCGGTGCTTGGAGATCTTGTTGCTTTTTCTTGCCTTGTTCATCTTGTTCATCTTGTTCATCTTCTTCTTTTTTGGTTTGTGCAACTTGTGGTTTTTGTGTCATTCTGTTGACGCCTGGCATTAGCGCTCCCTTCTCCCTTCATGCTCCTTCTACATCCTTCAGCCACAACAGTTTTCAACGGTAGCCGTTTTCATGTTGAACGACAAGAGGACAAGATCCGAACACCTCTACATTTTTCGACCATTTTCCGACAGATGTGTGGTGAGATTTCGAATATCACGGTCAAATGGTCAACATACCAATCTGCAAATTGTACGTGTTTAAAGCAGCAAATTGAACCGATTTAACCGATTTAACCTTCAATCTTGGCTTTTGGAGACATTGGAATATTTTCACTTTGTTTCCCACGGATTTATGCAGTTCATCCCAAAGTTCTGTGGATTTGGGCAGTTTCGGCAGGTACGCAGAAGAGCGAAACAAAGTGCTGCAGCAGATGGAACAGCTGCAACGGCAGGAGATTTTTCTGGAGCAATGGACAAGTAGAGTGGAAGCCAGGACTGAACAGATTCCAACTGGATCATTATGATCATTTGAAACTGTGGCTTTACATAGCCTATTTCGGTGGTTATATGAACAGTTTGGTCGAGAGTTGAAATTCTGTTTCTTTCTGCAGGATTTCAGATGTAAACTTGATTCAACTGGCATGTAATGTATGATATTGATGTCCATGGTTTATACGCATCTCATACATCTTCGAGAACATTATATCATGACATCAATCGAAATCAAAATCTTTAGAACCCGGGATCTGGATGTGGCTGTGGCGTTGCAGGAAGTTGCCTGGAGAGCTCTTCGCCGAAGTTGGCGAGTGCTTTTTGTTTCAGGCCAGTGACGGAGGCCTCGACATCGTGGAAGATCAGAAGGCCTTCGGAAAAGGCGTCTACCTCACGGACCAAGCTGAAACTCGCTCAGATTTAGATGCAAAACATTGCAAATCATCCATGATATAGCATGGTATGTTTTGAATTTTCTTCCAATTTATATGCCTGCTTCATTGCTTGTTTTTGTTGATTTGTTTTGGATCTCATTTTTGCCACTGTTTGTTAGGGTTAAATTTTGGCATGATTCTCACGGATTTGGCAAGGAGAGGATTACCCATCGAACAAGATTGACGAAGCGGACGGAAAGTGCTATCCACAGTGGTGACAGCCACATCAATTGCGTCAACTGCAAGTCATTTGAAGATCAACCAATTCTAAGCCCAGAATGTGCGGCATTTGCAACACATTGTGGTACTTCCAGCATGCTTCAGGCGTTGAGTACTGCTTCGTGGTCCGCACCACCTGTGGAGCATGTTTGCAGATACAAGGCAGGGACTAGCGGGAGAGCCACGGGAGAAGAGCACAAGGAACATCCAAATCAGTGGTGACCAGGTTTAGTCTCGTGAGTGTCTTTGTTGAATGTGTAGCACAGTTCTGCAGATTTTTCGACGACATAGCAGGAATGTATAGGAATGTATTGCCAACCTGGCCACGGATATCCAAGAACAGCAAGAACCAGAAGTTTTACCGTGTTCTGATTTGCTTGATTTTGCTGAGTGATTCATGTGTTTGGCGGTGCCACTTCTTCCAGGCGCGAATGACAAGGAAGCTTTGGAGGTGTGGAAGCCCTGTGAGTGGAACGAGTGGAACAAGTGAAACGAGTGGGACGAAATAGTGCATAGAAGGGGAAGTTGTGAGAACATGCTGCAGATAGTTTGCAAACACTGAAAGGTTGATGGGTAATTCTATAGATCAATATAGTGGGTCATACCACCTATACCACCTAGGGTTTCTTGCTGATGATTATAAAAACCATAGGGATACCTCTTAGCCAACCAGTATTTGTCATGGCTCCTGCTGCACACATCAGCTGCGAATTCTGAGGTCTTCGACGATCAGATGGGGCCGCGTTGCCTGCGCTGTGTGCCAGGTAGGGCTGTGGCCTGAGATAGTTGCGACCATTTTATACTACATTATTTGGACAGTTTAAAACGACGAGATGCTGTTAGATGATGTTAGATGCTTTCGGAAAAGATATGATGCAAAGCTGTTTTGATTTCGTGTCATTTTGTCAGGTGCTTCTCCTCCCTTCTCTTTTCACAGCGTGGTGAGCAAAGAGAGCGGGCTCAGTGAATTGAAATCGGGCGAGATCACCGAGATCACCGAGATCGTTTGTCTCGGCGATGCGATGCGTCGATGTTATCCCGAGTATCTGGTGGCCTATCGCCTGCCGAAGGCAGCGCCGGCACGGATCAGTCTTTGACGCCGTGGTCACCGTCGACCGAGAGTGCCTCGCTTCATTTCATTCGTCTATATTCGTCTCCTTCATTTTCAAGTCGTTTCCGCAGTTTCAATTTCTGTTTCCACTTTCTGAAGCGTTGGCTAAAGGGAGCTGTTTCTCGCCTATGGCGACTGGTGCAGTTTACAGATGATCTGTTGAAAAAAAGGGATCCTCTTTTCTTCAGAATGCCCCAGAGCGATCGACAGTGGACAAAACTCCTCGATGTACCTGGCTCCATCTGGTTCTTCCTTGCACCACTTTGGCTCAGCGGGTGGAACCATCCGAAATGGACAGTGAATGAAATTTCATATTGGCAGTTCAATTTAGTTTTCAAGGGTTACACATGTTACAGCATTTTGAACCAATTCTCAATCGCACAGTCACTGCACGGCTTGAAGTTAAGCACAACTTGCCACGGCCCAAAGTGCGGATGGTGAATCCCTTGGCTTCGCGTGGCTTGAGTGGCTTGTTAGTGGTGGCAGGGGCCGTTGCGTCTGCCATCACATGTCCAATTTATGTCTTCAAAGACCCAGATGTTGTGGAGGAACCAGAGGCAACGAACCTGGTGACAGAGATTCGCAGATTTGCAGAATCTGTGATTCTTTTACATTCCACATCGGATTTGGTGAATTGTCTGCTAAATGGCACACTGAATGGAAGCCAGCTTGTTGTACCCAAAGATCAACAACTGAATTCATTGGAGATGGCTTTGCATGCGCAAAATCAATCGTCAGAATTGCTTCTTCAGCATATGGTTCATGGAGAGCTCCACATTGTTTTTCATCATTCACAGTACTTTGCATGGACTCATTGTAGCAGTTCTGGCGCCCGAAACTTGTCAGGAGGTGGCTTTGGTCAAGGCCCTAGCAGGTTGCCAAATGTGACTCTTGTGGCATGTATTCCAACCAGCTCTTTGCCAACTGTCGTGGATGGGGTCTATGGCACCAGCAGCATCTTTGCCTGGACTGCTCCACAAGGTGCGGGCCGGATGACTTACATGGGAGCTGACTATTTTGAGGTGTTACCGGAATGGCCACAGTTACTGGAAAGTTCTCTAGCTTCAAGGTGTTTGGAAGGAAACGCAACCACTGGCACCAGAACCACAACGGTGACAACCACCACGCCGACAACATCACGTCCGAACATGGTCCACACCGGCTGTCCAGTTTACATGCTGAACGACCCATGGATTGTTGATGCCAGCCAAGAGGGAACCAACCTTTTGACAGAAATCCGCAGATTTGCAGATTCTGTCATTGTGCTGGATTCAACCTCAGATTTGGTTGCATTGCTGGGGAATGGCACACTGGCGGGCGGTCAGCTGGTTGTTCCTGAGCAAGAATGGGGGTCCTTGTCAAGTGCTTTGGGCAGTCAATCTAGGTCACTTTTGGCGCAACACATCGAAGCCGGACTTCATCTTGTTGTGCATTCATCAGTTGAGCTGATCATGCAAATTACTGGATGGTCTCTGTGGACAACTTCTTGTAGTGCTGGTAGTTCTGCTCCTCAAGACTTACGGGGAGGTGGATTTGGTCAAGGACCCGGTAGCTTGCCAAGTGCGAATCTCGTCGCTTGTGTTCCAAGAAGCTCTTCACCCAGCTCAATGGATGGGGCCTATGGGACCATGCACATGCTGTATGCTTGGACTGCTCCATATGGTAGTGGTCGTATCACATACATGGGAGCTGACTATTTTGAAGTGCGGCCCGAATGGCCAGAGCTACTAGAAAGTTCTCTTGGTGCAAGATGCTATTCGGGAAACACGACGACCGTCACCAGAACCACCGTAGTCACAACCACGCTGACGACGGCCACGGTCACAGTGACACCTCTTATTGTGGAGTGCGGTAGTGTCCTTTATGGATCAAACGTTGGACAACCGAATACAATTGGTAGCGCGGCCGGTGATGTGTGGCATATGTTCTGTCCAACAGCAGCCGGAACTGTGGAGATCAGTACATGCGGCTCGGACTACGACACATTTCTGTACATCCAGGGATCAAACATTGATTACTCCTGTGATGATTGTGGCTCCTGTGGAAGTCGGACAGAGACCACCGTCACCAATTTCTTGCCAGGTGAGTGCTACAACATCATCGTTGGTGGTTTTTCGTCGCGAGAAGGTATGTATGTCTTGTCAATCAGTTGCGAAGCTCTTACCACCACGCCCCCCCCTGTGATCACCACCACGCCCCCCCCTGTGATCACCATCACCTGTCCGATTTATTTCTTGAATGATCCCGAGATTTTCGATGAGCCGGTGGAGGTCGCCAATCTTTTGGCGGCGATTTGCAGATTTGCAGATCCCGTGATTCTTCTGAATTCCACAACGGATTTGGTGAATTCTGTGGCGAATGGGACATTGGGAAAACAACTCATCATCCCTTGGCCATTTTATCTTTATCAAAATTGGCAGAGTCGTTTGGACTATGAACACAGGTTGCTCTTTATTCAAAAAATTGAGGAAGGACTTCATCTTGTGGTGCATGCCGCGCTTGACCTCATTAACCTACTTAGTGGCTGGCAGACCGCCTGGTCTTATGGGTGTAGGTTCGGAGAATCTGCTTCTCAAGATTTGTGGGGAGGCGGCTTTGGTCAAGGACCCAGTGAATTGCCATATCAAATCAGGTTGGGATGCATTGAAATAGAGTCTTTACCAAGCTCGGTGGATGGCCGGTATAGCACAGACGAGGGTGTCTATGCTTGGACTGCTCCATATGGAAGCGGTCGCATCACTTACTATGTCAGTGCCTTAGGCTTTGTTTCTCATTTGCGCACATTGAGTCATGGCAATTCTCGGTTTTCATCACAACTGAAAGGCCCATCTTCTTTCCAGATCAACCGAGATGTTCCTTGTTTCTACTTAGGCCAGTACCTTTCTTGACGTGCATCCAGAATGGCGGGAAATACTAGAAAGCTCTCTTGGTGCGAGATGCGATTCGGGAAACACGACGACCGTCACCAGAACCACGAGCGTCACAACCACACTAACCGCGACAACTGCAACAGGCGAGGGTTTGGTCCAAATTCTTCGGTTTCGCGCAGGGCATTCTGTGGATTTTGACCCATGGCCGTGAAGGTTTCATGAAACCATCCAGGCTGTCTGACTCTGTTCCAATCAATGCCTCGCATGCACGCATGCATTCCAGGTATGCCTGTGCAATGTGGAAGCATTGTGCGTGCATCCACGGTTGGAAGGGGCTTTGCTCGTCACACATTTTGCACTGAGAATGTGAGTAGCGGAACGGTTCTGGCACCGTGTGCTGCATTCAACGTGTTCGTTTGGATGGGACACACCACCAGTTCAACCATGTCAATCAATCTACCTACGAATGCTTACGACCTGAAGCTTCTTCTCATATCTATTTTTTCAAAGCAGTCCGACAGTTTCTACTTTCGTCGCGAAACATGTGGGGCGGAAATCTGGAACCCCAGAATGCCAGGATTTATCATCAGATCTCAGCCTGGAATATCTTGAGATATCTTGGACTGGCTATGTTGTATCATTTTGGGGTGTAACTCGGTATAAATGCCATTTCTGGCTGAGGTAAGTACCTGTGGCTCCTCCTTCGACACCATGCTCTCGGTGCAAGGCCCGAACGTGCGGCGCTCCTGTGACGACTGCGGTCCGTGTGGCATACAGACCGAGCTGAAGATTTACAACTTTCTGCCTGGTTCTTGTTGCTGGGAGCTGATGTCATTATCACCGTAGCATAGTATATATAGCTAGTTTGAGCTCGCCTAACTTCCATCCTCCACGCGTGCCAGCCATATACCATAAAGTTTTTGGGGCAAATGGGAAGCTAAGACATGTCAAGAAGATAGGCGGGCCCTTTATATAAAACATAACATATCTTTAAAACACTATTTTACCATAAAAACAATTTTACAACATATTTTAGACAGAAAGTTTCTAGATAAAATATGGGGTATATCATCATAAATTACATAGTAATTAACTATGTAATTTTTGGGGATAATGAACTTAAACTATATAATGAATTACATAATTTTATGGGTCAATGTCCTTAAAGAATTTCATAAGGAGTTTCAATAACTTGCTTTATTTTCTCAATCAGTTCATTTGTTAAAGCTTCTTTATCTTCTGGTTTTCCTTCTTTCCTTTTATCTTTTAACTCGATTCATTTCGTAATATGTTAATTTTATGTCTTTTAGCGCTTATATTCTCTTTCCATCCGAACTGTTTAACCCTCATATTACATATGTCGCGAATTGTTGTAGGGCGCACCATTTCTTCTTCTTCTGCCCTTCTTCTTCTATACTCAGTGCATTTATCACAGCACTTGAAACCATAACTAAACAAGTCTTTTGTTTTTTTCCCCAACAGCGAAAGCTAATGGGGTCTTCAGCCCAGCATAGCTCCGGTGTGCACTGGTGCAGGCGCCGGGTCAGGTTCAACGAGGTTCCGGAGAAGGTTCCGAAGGTTCTGGAGAAGGCCTAAAAGGCTTTGGTGCAGAGCCAGGTCAGGTTCAACAGGGTTCCGGAGAAGGTTCCGGTGAAGGTCTGGGAGGCTTTGGTGCAGAGCCAGGTCAGGTTCAACAGGGTTCTGGCGAAGGTTCCGGAGAAGGTCTGGGAGGCTTTGGTGCAGCCAGGTCAGGTTCAACAGGGCTCCGAAGATTTTGAAGAAGGTTCCAGGAAGCCTTGGTGCAAAGCCAAGTCAGGTTCAACGGGTTCCGTAGAAGGTTCCGGAGAAGGCCCGGGAGTTTGGTGCAAAGAAGGTTCCGGAGAAGGTCTGGGAGGTTCAACAGGGTTCCGGAGAAGCTCCCGGAGAAGGTTCCAGGAAGCCTTGGTGCAAAGCCAAGTCAAGTTCAACACGGTTCCGGAGAAGGTTCCGGAGAAGGCCGGGGAGAAGGTTCCGGAGAAGGTCTGGGAGGCTTTGGTGCAGAGCCAGGTCAGGTTCAACAGGGTTCCGGAGAAGGTTCCGGTGAAGGTCTGGGAGGTTTTGGAGCCTCAGTGTGTTTCCAGTGCTTGCCTTCGCAGCATGCCAGAAAGATTTATAAAAATACAGCGTTGCGGCTGTTGGGGATACCACCGAAGCTTATTACAAGTAGAACATCTTTTAGTATCATTCATATCCATATCCTACTAATTAATCTGGCTAATTTATTTAAGGGCTGCCGCCCCTGCCGCCGACCCCGGAAGAATCGGCAAGGAAGCAAACTAAATTCTGAGGCTTTCGACCTTTTTCGTATGTATATTGTTGCGAACTATATTTGATAGGTTTGAATTTTCATTTGTAAATGGGTTTTTCATTTGGGTGCATGTTGATATTATGATCCTATGGTTTTATGGGTTCACGGATCTAAGTACTTGTCAATAGTTAGATAATATATATATATATCTATACGATAGTTTTGGCCCTATTATTATGCAGCTAGTGTTGCGCCGCACAGGTGCATGGTTGCGCCGCACAGGTGCATGATAGTTTATCAAAGTATACGGGGACCTTGTTTTTTTGGATCCTCCACCTTGTTTTCCGTGTTTTTTTGACCCTTCATGAATGAAATCCTAAATGAAACTCTAAAGAAACTACCCACATGAATGTTTGAAAACCTTGACAAGATTTTCGGTTGAAACAATTAGTTTGGCAGTGAAGGACGGAGAAGGCGCAAAAAAGGAGGCGAAAAAGTGCCTAACGTAACTTCTGAAACCCATAGAAAATGAGGAGATTTTGGAGCTACTTGTCCCGCTCCAAAACGCGGTTCTTGGGCGAGGAAAGACCGCGCAAAACCACAGCCCCCGGACGGGGAAACACCATGGCAGTGAAGGACGGAGAAGGCGCAAAAAAGGCGGCGAAAAAGTGCCTAACGTAACTTCTGAAACCCATAGAAAATGAGGAGATTTCGGAGCTACTTGTCCCGCTCCAAAACGCGGTTCTTGGGCGAGGAAAGACCGCGCAAAACCACAGCCCCCGGACGGGGAAACACCATGGCAGTGAAGGACGGAGAAGGCGCAAAAAAGGCGGCGAAAAAGTGCCTAACGTAACTTCTGAAACCCATAGAAAATGAGAGATTTCTGAGCTACTTGTCCCGCTCCAAAACGCGGTTCTTGGGCGAGGAAAGACCGCGCAAAACCACAGCCCCCGGACGGGGAAACACCATGGCAGTGAAGGACGGAGAAGGCGCAAAAAAGGCGGCGAAAAAGTGCCTAACGTAACTTCTGAAACCCATAGAAAATGAGGAGATTTCTGAGCTACTTGTCCCGCTCCAAAACGCGTTTCTTGGGCGAGGAAAGACCGCGCAAAACCACAGCCCCCGGACGGGGAAACACCATGGCAGTGAAGGACGGAGAAGGCGCAAAAAAGGCGGCGAAAAAGTGCCTAACGTAACTTCTGAAACCCATAGAAAATGAGGAGATTTCTGAGCTACTTGTCCCGCTCCAAAACGCGGTTCTTGGGCGAGGAAAGACCGCGCAAAACCACAGCTCCCCGGACGGGGAGGAAAACACCATGGGAGTGAAGGAGGAGAAGGCGCAAAAAAGGCGGCGAAAAAAGTGCCTAACGTATACTTCTGAACCCATAGAAAATGAGGAGATTTATGAGCTAATTTGTCCCGCTCCAAAACGCGGGTTTTCGTGGGCGAGGGAAGGGAATGACCGCGCCAAACCACAGCCCCGGACGGGGGAAACACCATGCAGTGAAGGACGGAGAAGAGAAGCGCCAAAAAAAAAGGCGGCGAAAAAAGTGGCCTAACGTAACTTCTGAAACCCATAGAAAATGAGAGATTTCTGAGCTACTTGTTCCCCTCCCAAAAACGCGGACCGGGTTTCTTGGGCGAGGAGGAGGAGCGAAAGACCGCGCAAAACCACAGCCCCCGGACAAGGAAACACCATGGCAGTGAAGGACGGAGAAGGCGCAAAAAAGGCGGCGAAAAAGTGCCTAACGTAACTTCTGAAACCCATAGAAAATGAGGAGATTTCTGAGCTACTTGTCCCGCTCCAAAACGCGGTTCTTGGGCGAGGAAAGACCGCGCAAAACCACAGCTCCCCGGAGGCCGGAACGTCCCTTCTGAAATCCTACTAGAAAGCTATGACTTCTGTAGTTTGACTTCTGCTGTTTTCTGCTGTTGTTGTTGTAGTAGTAGTAGTAGCTGGCGGTGGCAAACTCTCGCACACTTGATCAGTCCAATCCTTTCGACATGCGCGCTGCTGACCTGGCGTCTTCTGTCCTCTCCGAGACGAGCAATGGAAAAAAACAACTACAACCCAAGCGGAGTACGTATACACCTGTCCTTGTCCTTTCTGCAAAGGCGTTGTGACATCGTTTGTTGCTACTGGACAGATTAACCATCGTCGCATTTGTGGGAAACAGTTCCGTGTCGAAAATGGTTTCGTTCGCCCCACACAGCGCTATGTGCACACTTGCCCGACGTGTGGATCTTCATTCACAGCACCAAAAAAACAGGACGCATCCGAAGCAAGCACAAGCAAGCAAACGGTCGCACGTGCCCTCGAACAGAATGGCAACTTAGATCGGAGTGAACCCGTCTGTCGCAACCTTTTGTCAGCAACGTTTTCTTCTGGACAGGGAAACACCATGGCAGTGAAGGACGGAGAAGGCGCAAAAAAGGCGGCGAAAAAGTGCCTAACGTAACTTCTGAAACCCATAGAAAATAAGGAGATTTCTGAGCTACTTGTCCCGCTCCAAAACGCGGTTCTTGGGCGAGGAAAGACCGCGCAAAACCACAGCCCCCGGACGGGGAAACACCATGGCAGTGAAGGACGGAGAAGGCGCAAAAAAGGCGGCGAAAAAGTGCCTAACGTAACTTCTGAAACCCAGAGAAAATGAGGAGATTTCGGAGCTACTTGTCCCGCTCCAAAACGCGGTTCTTGGGCGAGGAAAGACCGCGCAAAACCACAGCCCCGGACGGGGAAACACCATGGCAGTGAAGGACGGAGAAGGCGCAAAAAAGGCAGCGAAAAAGTGCCTAACGTAACTTCTGAAACCCATAGAAAATGAAGATTTCTGAGCTACTTGTCCCGCTCCAAAACGCGGTTCTTGGGCGAGGAAAGACCGCGCAAAACCACAGCCCCCGGACGGGGAAACACCATGGCAGTGAAGGACGGAGAAGGCGCAAAAAAGGCGGCGAAAAAGTGCCTAACGTAACTTCTGAAACTCATAGAAAATGAGGAGATTTCTGAGCTACTTGTCCCGCTCCAAAACGCGGTTCTTGGGCGAGGAAAGACCGCACAAAACCACAGCCCCCGGACGGGGAAACACCATGGCAGTGAAGGACGGAGAAGGCGCAAAAAAGGCGGCGAAAAAGTGCCTAACGTAACTTCTGAAACCCATAGAAAATGAGGAGATTTCTGAGCTACTTGTCCCGCTCCAAAACGCGGTTCTTGGGCGAGGAAAGACCGCGCAAAACCACAGCCCCCGGACGGGGAAACACCATGGCAGTGAAGGACGGAGAAGGCGCAAAAAAGGCGGCGAAAAAGTGCCTAACGTAACTTCTGAAACCCATAGAAAATGAGGATTTCTGAGCTACTTGTCCCGCTCCAAAACGCGGTTCTTGGGCGAGGAAAGACCGCGCAAAACCACAGCCCCCGGACGGGGAAACACCATGGCAGTGAAGGACGGAGAAGGCGCAAAAAAGGCGGCGAAAAAGTGCCTAACGTAACTTCTGAAATCCATAGAAAATGAGGAGATTTCTGAGCTACTTGTCCCGCTCCAAAACGCGTTTCTTGGGCGAGGAAAGACCGCGCAAAACCACAGCCCCCGGACGGGGAAACACCATGGCAGTGAAGGACGGAGAAGGCGCAAAAAAGGCGGCGAAAAAGTGCCTAACGTAACTTCTGAAACCCATAGAAAATGAGGAGATTTCTGAGCTACTTGTCCCGCTCCAAAACGCGGTTCTTGGGCGAGGAAAGACCGCGCAAAACCACAGCTCCCCGGAGGCCGGAACGTCCCTTCGGAAATCATACTAGAAAGCTATGACTTCTGTAGTTTGACTTCTGTAGTTTGACTTCTGCTGTTTTCTGCAGTAGTAGTAGTAGTAGTAGTAGTAGCTGGCGGTGGCAAACTTTTGTCTTATTCCCTGGCGCGCCCCCCCTTGCGCAGCCGGGGTCGGCGGATTTTTCGACAGACACGCACTCCAAAAAACAGTTGCCAGATGGGAAAACACCATCCAGTCCAGCTGCTGCTGGTTGCTGCTGCTGCTGCTGTTGCTGCTGCTGCTGCTCCTTCTGTTCAAAAGACAGCTGCCGAATGGGAAAACACCATGGTAGTGGAGGTGGTAGTAGTCCGAAACAAGGGTCAAAAGTATTATTCCCTGGCGCGCTCCCCCTTGCGTCTGCCGGGGTCGGCGGATTGGTTCCGCGATTTGTTTTTGCATGATGTATATACGCAATCACAGTCATGGAGTCATTTGCTGACGCATTCTTTGATCGGCTCAATCCGAAATAAATCGGTCAATCATGAAAAAACTGTAGCCACCAAACCTGTCAACCAAGAAATGCCCAGTTCTTTTTGGCCTCTTTCTTCCCGTCTGTTCCCATCCATTTACTATATATAGGGAAACATTTTCGTTGTCATGATTCTGATCAAACGACTTACGGAAAACCTATAGGGAAACGTTTCTGTTGGAAACCTGTCCTAGGGGTGCGTGAGTGTGATAGTATTGAAGCGATTTACAGCGTCTTCTCCATTTTGAGGGTAATTCAATGTAATTAGTTAGTTCACCTTGTTCCGCATAATATGGAAAGTAGTAGTTGGCCCAAGATTGATTGCAAGGTTGTGGCACGAGATGTGCCAAAGAACGACAGCTTGCAGCAGGGAGTCTACAACATCGAAGAGGTTCGGCGCGCCAGGGATTTTGTCGAGAAACTACACCATGGGCTTGAGCCCTCCAATGTCACGTTGGCCAACAAGATTGAGCAACTTGGCAGGTTGTGGTGAAATTCATTGATTGCTTCCCCAGTGAGTTTTACGCGCACTTGGAACATCGCTTGCCTTTGTCAAATATTGGTAGTTGTGATATGCCAAGGAATGTGGTGGGCAAGAGCCTGGCTTCAGTTCTGCATTTGAAGACCTCTCTTCCTGCAAGGCTTCAGAGTTTGTTGGCTGATGTCCAACAGGTCCGCGCCGTGGAGGGCAAACGTGTTGTTGATATCATCGAACGTTCTGGACTTAAAGATGATGATGTGAAGAATGCGCAGAACGGAATTTCCCAAATCCAGACGCATATCTTTGGTGAAAAAATGAATGATTTGCTGAACATGGTCCAGGAATGTGAGGAAGAATTCAGGAAGACTGAAGGAGGATACGACCAATGCATGCATGAACAGGAAGCCAACCTATGTCGCACATACAACATCACGAAATACATCAAGTATGTGTACACGCCCCTCAAAGTCATCGTTGCACCTCCTGATCTGGTTCTGTCTGGAAGCATTTGTGTTTCCTTTGCCACTTCTGTTTCGATGAAACACCGGCCGGGTCTTGCTTCGCTTTTTTTTGGGGCATTCGGATTTGCAGTTGCAACTCTGTCCACAAAGTTCTTATCTCTGGGTCTCCGCTCGGATTTTGATCAGATCCAGATTGAAAAAAAAGAAAACTTGTCCGAAGTGCGGCAGATCAGAAGCATGGGGCAGCAGATGGGGAACCATCTCAAGACTATCCAGGATGACATTCAGCGTCTTCAAGCGTGCCACACAAGATTGAGCATCTGAAAAACCAGCTTCCAAACTATCAAGCCAGCAGTTTGGACGCAGCTTGCTGGAATGCAAAGATGTTGGACCAAGTCCTCATTGAGTTTGATCTTGGGGAGGCTGCAGCCGTGTTGTTGACGAACAACATCTCAGGCCGAGCCTTTCTTGAGGTGTTAAGTGGAAAAGAAGATCTTGAAGCGCTTGGAATTACAGACCAACTCACACTGCGGCGTCTCATGAATTTGCAGGACTTCAGGGAAGAGCATACATTCAGGGATCCAATCATTTGCTAGGGTCTTGTAGATAGCAATAGCAATAGCGTATCGTATTTTAAGAACTTCAACAAGTGTCAAGTGCAATTGCCTGGAAGGGCGTAGCAAGCATTCAAATCTTGGTTTCTCTCGCAGGATGAGTGGAAAAGCGGCAATGGCAAGGTGTTGCTAAACGCCCACGAATTTGGGAGCAGCTTGATGGAAGCAATCGACGAAGTGATTGACGGTGTCTCGGCACCAGTCTATAGTCTGCTTCCCCAGCCATGCCAGTAGGGCAGCGCAATGTGACAATCGCTCACCTTTCATACTGCTTAAAGAAAAACTGTTACTTTTATGTTGACAGCACTTGCATCATTTACATTCCAATTTGCACAACTTTATGGTTTCGCCCAGAAGATCTACAGCCTGGGCACATGTGTCACACATGGAAGATGTTTGACAAAGACAGTGCATATTTGACAGCCAATCGCGCCAGCTACTTCAAACCTTTTGTCTTTCACTAAGGCATTCGTAAGTTGGAGAACAAGTACTGCAAGCGATCATCAGATTAGATGTCCCACAGCAGCCATTGCAGTCAGATTGGAGGCCTGCTTGTATGATCTTGTATGTGTTCAAGTCTAGTTCTCAGGAATTTTGATCGGCTTTGCTACAGTATTCAAAGGTTTGCGCCAATTTCTCTGCGTGAACTTGAGATAGTATCTTGGTTCGAAGCCAGAGACGACTTTGCGCAGAGTCGAGTGGCAAAAAAGTCCATGCAGCTTGTGCAAAGTGCCTCGAGGCCTCGAGGCTTGCGTTTGTGTTGTTTTTTCTTCGAAGGCATTTTGTGTAAGGAGACTTGTCCGATATATTATGATATATTCTTTCTCATGCTTTATCATTCTTTCAGGTTTGGTTTGTGTGGCCTCTTGTGTTGCTGACGGAGGGTTGCCTCAAGGGCTTGACTCTTCAAAACATTTCGAAAGCCCTTGAGGCAGGTGCAGCTGCGTGAAGAGGGTGAGGCTCTCCGGGAGTGTTTGGAGGCCGGTGACTTTGGAGCCACCAGCCGAACATTGCTCAAGCTTCGTGTGGTGAGCGAGAATACCAAACTGTGGTAGCTTTCATAGGAAACTTGTAAGTCTGTTTGCATCCGTTGACTTTCAAAGGCGTGTTTTTCGTTGGGATCCTGTTTCGCCAGGCATCCGGGGCGCTGGCGCCAGTGCGCTTCTTGGCTAGCTTGCACCGGCGTCGCTTCGCGGAGGTGGAATCGGAAAGGGACATGCGAAGCCAGGGCCAGATTCCTTGCCTTGGCAGGTCATCAAACGACACCCAGGGCCATGGCCTGGCAGCCTTGATGCGGTGGTGCAGATCCGGGTGGCCCGGGACGTTGGGTGAAAGGAAGAGCAAGTGACTTCAACAAGCCACGAGTTGTTTGATGGATCAGTTTGCAACCAGAATACAGAAGAGTCTCAGAAGAGTCTCAGAAGAGTGCAGAATATTTCATCAGCAGGAATATGTCGAACGTGTCCACGGCAAAGCTCCTGGAGCTCTTCTAAGCTCTTGGGGTACTATATGGATGTATTGTATCACATGAGGCCATTAGGCAAGCTGGTTGTACATATTTGGTTTGTGTCTATTTTTGTGACATCCCTAGAAGCACCAAATTCACATGGCTTCTAATTTAGACCCGTACTTCTATTACGACCTTGCAGGGATATGTCCAACAACGCCATGAATGTAGAGTGGGGATGTTTTTCCAACAGCAAGGAGCTAGCCTTGGCCACGGCTGCTGGTGCAGGGGTCTGGAAGCCCCAGCGTGCTTTTTGATAGAGTGGACAAGCCATGAGTTTGCTTATTGAAAATCTTCCAGAGGATGGCTGTATATAGAAAGGTGAATTAATATGATAAGTGACAAATTCAATTTGGATGATTTTGCAGCCTGCCATGACTTGTGTTTGCTTTCAGACCAACTGGTTGTCCCCCTGAGGCTGCAAGTGTAGCACCTCTGGCAGCTGCCTCCCGTGCGCTGCGTGGTGGTGTGGGCAGGGATCCCTAGTAGTGGTGGCTACCTGCATCTGCGGCAACAGTGTCAGCTTCAATTCAGCTATGCTACATTCGATTTTGAGAGGTTGAGATGTCAGCAATTCTCCGCAGCTTATACAGCATCTTCACTCTGGACATTTTGGACTGGAATTGGGGCACATCTCTGTGACCAGAATCTTGCTGGCAAAATCTTTGCTGCAGGTAGCATGCTCTCAGAGTTTCCAGCCCTCTTCCCTTCGCAGGTGCTCATGAGTATTGAAGGGAAAATGATGGCTTGCCGCGTTTGCTTGTTGCAGAGTATCGTCAAGAGAGTGTTGTTACTAACTTCAGAAATGTGACGACCAGCCACAACCTCTCTGCCCGCGAGAACAGCGGCATGCGAACGAAGTCAATCCAAATGCTGCCAGGTGTACGCCATTGGCGGGGCCGATTCTAGCGTTTGGACCTCTGGAAGGGAGCTGTCTATGGAGCTGTCTATTGAGCTTGTGCAAACCGTGGTGGAGATATCTAATCATTGACTACATTGCACTTTTAGGCTTCACATGATGGTTTTCTCTTTGATCTAAGCTGGCTGATTTGAGAGTGTATGTTTCATGGTGTGATGTTTACTGTTGGTAGATTTAAAAACAGCTGCACATGCGACTCATTCCCTGTCTGGACGACCACCTTGTGATGCTCACGCGCTCTCTTAAAGCTATAAAAAATTGGGTCACTTGGATTTTTGGGAAATCAGATGCATTTCACAGACGGGACTATGTTGAGTTAGACTAGTTAGACTAGTTAGACTAGTTAGACTAATTAGACACTACCTGAATGCATTCACCCCGTCGACGAAGCCAACTTCAGAGAGGCTGAGACTCTAAGCTCTGTGGAGAAATTCGACTCCAAGAGCTGCGTAGGCACCTCAGAAGGCGCAAGATGGCGCAAGTCTTAGTAAGTAGTAGTTTTGCTGGGCCAACTTTAGAAGAGAGGTTTAGGGAGGTGGCACGGCTGGGTTCACAAGTTGAAGTGTCATTGAAGTACTAAGTAGATCTAAGTAGCGTTGAAGATGTGAAGGTAATCGCCATTTCCACATT